AAGTTGGGTTAAGTTGGATTTTTCTTTATTGAAAGAGCTCATCACAGGTGAATATTATCTAGATTGCCTATCACAATTATATATTTCATTTGTGAGAAAAAAAAAGAAAAAAAATCACGTTAAAATGGATCTAACACTAACATCCAAATCTTACTGATAAAATGCATTTATGACATGAGCTTATTTGCTGTTTAGTGAATTCCTTATCTTCACCAATTGTCTTTATTAGGTAAAACAACAAATATGTTTATGTATCTTTGCCTAGAGACACCATTTTCTCCTCTCTCTCTCCTTGATTTGTAGTTTTGTGGGTATAATTTTCAAAAGCCATTTACTATTATCATCAAAATGAGAACTGCCATGTATAAGCATGAGGAAAAGAGGAAAGAATTATCATATTCCAACAAAAAACATCTTACTTAAATTCAGAAAATACAGATGAGGATTACTCCACCTAGAGAATTACTCGAAAGCACTTTTGAGCTTTACTCTCCTAAAGATTAACAGATTATTGATTAAATAACACTGGGATAAAGCAGCTAAAATTGTAGTTCTTCTAGTATCTAAATAATGCAGACTTTTGTAGAAAAATCAAACCAGAGGAAAATTAATATACTTTGCAAATTTATTTTATAATCTTCGGTAATTTAGATAATTGTCTATTTTTATTTTGTAGAGTGTAATAATTTTCAAAACAAAATAAGAACCATAACAAGTATAATAAACATAAAATAATAATCCTAAGGGCACAGTTCTTAATTTCTTTTCTTCTCTGTTCACCCTCACTGTCTTAGTGATCCTACCATCTATACACCTATGATCACCAGTTTTAAATCTCCAAACCTGACCTCTCTTCAATCTCAACTTCTTTATCAAAAGTACCTTTATGACATCTCCGTCTGGATGTCTAATTGACAGTCCTAACTCTGCATGTCCAAAACTCAAATCTTGGTCTTCCCTCTCAAAATGTGCTTTACCTAATGTTCCCTGTATGAGTGAAAGACAACTTCATTTTTTCAGTTGCTCAGGATGAAACACTGAGTCATCCTTGACATATCTCTGTTTCTCAAACACAACTAATTGATCAGTAAATCCTTCTTGTTGCCTATACTGTCTAAACATATCCAGAATCCGATCACAATTTCCACCACCAATTCTACTGACCAATGCTGAGTCACTATCAGCTCTTGCTTGGATAATTGCAATAGCCTAACTGGGGACTCCTGCTTCCTGCTTTGACTGCCTAAAAGAATGATCCTTTTAAATATGAAGTCAGATCCACTGGCTTCCTATTTTCACTCAACATAAAAACCAGCACTGGCTGGTTTGACTCAGTGGATAGAGCGTTGGCCTGTGGACTCAAGGGTCCCAGGTTCAATTCCAGTCAAGGGCATGTACCTTGGTTGCGGGAACACCCCCAGTAAGGGGTTTGTGGGAGGCAGCTGATTGATGTTTCTCTCTCATCAATGTTTCTAACTCTCTCTCTCCCTCTCCCTTCCTTTCTGTAAAAAAATCAACAATATATATATATATTTTTTAATTTTTTTTTTAAACAACACCTTCATCATTACCTCTAGGAACTAGTCCTCTGTATCCATTCTGACTTTATATCCTCTACTCTTTCCCCCGTGATCACTCGGCTCTAGCCACCCTGGGCATGCCTTTACCCTGGGGACTTTCTTCACTATTCTCTTCTACTTCCCTTCTAAATGTCATGAGGTCACATATGAATAAAGCCTATGGAGATCCTATTTAAAATCACTAACTCTTTTCTCCACAACCACCTGTCCCAACTCCCTGCCATGATGTTCTATTTTTCTAGTTTTCCTTGGCAATGATCACTTTCTAACATTATCTGCACTTCAGTTAGTTTTCATGTTTATCATCTCCTTCCCACCAGAAGACAAGCACCATGTATTCAGGGGTCTTGGTTTATTCACTTGTGTATCTCAAACACCTTGATCTGTGCCTGGAACATTTATCTCCTGAATAAAATTAAAAAAAATAAAATAAAAAAGATAGACCACTCTCTATGTCTTATTTGTTGATGACAAAAACGGAGTAACCTTAACCATGAAATTAGGCCTGTTTTAGTTTTATAAAGGGCTTTATAATTTGCTTTATTTTCCATTGGATGTAAATGTAAATATTTTTTGAAAATATAACTGAAGCATGTTATATCTATTACTAATGGAAAAACATTAATAAACAAGCTTTAACATCTCATACCCACACACAACACATGTCTACAGATTTCCAATTGTGCCTATGGATTCCAGCCCCCACACACTTCTCTTATTTGTCCTTACTTGGGGCAGTCTAGGCAAATAGATTGGCTCTATTCTTGGCTGGCTCTAACTTTGAGATACAGTTTATTTCTCCTCTAATTTTTACTCTTGTAATTCCAACCTGCAAAATCTTTTCTTTTTTTTTTCTTTTTTGTATTTTTTTCTATTTTTTTATTTATTAAATTATTTTCTGTGTACATATTTTAACATTGCCTCCCCTCCCATACATACACTCCCTCCCCAGAGTTTTGTGTCCATTGGTTGTACTTATATGCATGTATACAAGTCCTTCGACAACCTGCAAAATCTTTATGTAGATTTTATATAACCTATACCTTGTGTTACGAATTTTTAACATTTTGCTAAACTTCCTTTCTCATGTATATGTTTTGTTTTTCCCTGAATTTTTGATAGTATATTGCTGATATCATGACATTTCACCTATAAATACTTCATCAAGTGCCACTTAAGAACAACAACATATTCCTATATCACAATGAAAGGATCATATTCAAGAAATTTAACATGAATATGTTGTTATCCAATATAGTCCATATTCAAATTTCCCAGTGATGTTGTTTATAGCTTTGTTTTCTATACTTAAGATATAGCCATGGACCACGCATCATATTTTGTTGCCATATCTCAGCAATAGTTCCTTCTTCCTCTCTCCTTCTCCTCCTCCTTCTGCTTCTCCTCTTCCTCCTTTTTTGTCTGTCATATTTGAAAGTTTCCAGGCCAGTAATCCACTCTAGATCCAGGTTAAAGTTATTTAGCAAAACCTCTACCTAAAGTTAAACTTTTGATGCACGCTCTAATAGCTATAAAAGCGGCAGTATGCAAAATGGTCACAAGTCCAGTCCAGGTAGCCAGACATACCTGGGTTCGAATCCAGCTCTGTCACTCGTGTACTGTGAGAAATATTTAATCATTTTCCTAACATCGGCTTCCCTAATTTGTAAAGTGGAGATGATCACACTACACATCTCGCAGGACTGTTATATAGATTATAAATAGGTTGGTATATGAGAAGCACTTAGACTAGTACCTGGCATGTGGCAGATGCTTTGTGTTAGCTCAATTTATAGTCTTAAAACAACCTTGACTAATTCCTATCTATTGTCTGAGATTGGGGATAGGAGAGGGGGGTAGAAAACATAGGACAGAAGCTTTATACCTTCCCTGAGTACAGAGTAACTATCAAAGGCCTGGCTTAGACTTTTAGGCTTGAAGATGGCGACCGAACAGTCGGACTTGTTCTGACTCTGGTCCCAGAACAGACAAAAGTAGCGTCTGAGCAGCTCAGGGAATGTTGATTGGCAGCTGAGGGGCAGCGGAGTTCTCAAGGAAGGTAGGGAGCTGTCCCCTGGACAGGATTTCCTGGCTGGGAGGCCAGCACTGCCGCGGTGGCGGAGGTGGCGGCGAGCTGAGGGCTGTGGCGAGCTGAGGGCTGCGGCTCGGGGGCTCCGCCACCTTACCAGGAAAGGAGTAGCTTCTCTGAGGCCTGGAAAACCCCAGCGGAGAGGTCCATCAAGCAGCTGAGAAGCCCGAATCAGCGCAGACACGTGGATTCAAGGGAGCTCTTCGGTCACCCACGGAAAGGTCAAAGGCCTGGCTTAGAATTTTTATTAAGTCCCATTGTTGCTTTTGGAAGTTCTGAGTGTTTTTACCTCAGCACCTTTTGACAAGTGGCATTTATTAGATATTCAAAAGAAAGAGTAAGAAAGGCATCTTCCTACACTTCACAAGGAAGGTTCAGAGAAGAGCTGTCTTCGCCTGACAGCCTCTAGAGTGCAGCAGAGGCACGGGGGCTCTGGGCTCCTTTGGGAGTGTGAGTGATCCCCGCCTTCCCCCAGGCAGTCCTGTCCACAAACCATAAACTGGGCACGAGGTTGACTTTGCTCAGAATAAATAGGTGTGTGATTGTTTACTTGGGAACATGAAGCAAATAACCACAAGTAATATCAAGATATATTATTTTTTGGTAAGAAAGTCCTTCTTAAATGTAACTGTTTTTGAAAAACTAAATATATCACAGTAACTGCACACCCTCTCCACACCATGGTAACATGAGGCTCGCCAGATCTGGTTCCAGCAGTTTAATTCTTAGCGAGCAGCTGGGTGCTGAGATGACTTTGTGATATAACTGATAAAACTGTTGCCATGGCAGCTCCCCTGGGAGAGAACACCGTTTCCTCCAACAGAAGGGGGCACCTCTGCTCGCAGTTGCCCAGCAGGTAGTACGTGGACTTTTCTACGTGGCCTCAGCTTGAAGGCCTTTTGGTAAATGTTTCTAACCCTCAGAAGTCAAGTTTTCTCCTATTACTTAGCTATTCCACGGTACTGAAACAGAGCCCTCAAAAAAAAAAAAAAGTTGCAAGCCATTCAGAAACAGGTTAAACTACAAGTGCATCATTTCTAGTAATGCAATGAGCACCTTCTCTACATTCTGGCTGGGAGGCACTGAGTAGTGGGTAGGAGCATGGAATCGGAAAGCAAGATAACCCGCACTTGAACCCCAGCTCCACAACCACCCAGCTGTATGATGGTGAACAAGTTATGTCATCTCTCTGTGCCTCAAGTGTCCTCTTCTGTGAAATGGAGATAATACAAGTACCTACCTTGGAGGCTGTTTGGAGAATGTAAGGAGTTAACATATGTTAAATGTTTAGAACAGTCCCTTATATTTAATAAGCACCGCAGAAGGGTTACCTTTTATTATCCAGAATCGCAGAACCTTCTGCCAGCACTCCAGCCTTTCCCTCCGTCTCCCCGCCTCGGCAGTCCCGATGGCACAGCAGAGACTAGGATTCAAGGCAACTACAGAGTATCATCCTCACCAGGTATCTAAAAACAAAAAGAGCATTTTCCCCTTTAGCCCCAACTTACAGAAGATGGCTGAGCAGCTAGCTCCCCCATCCTCAAGCCTTCCCCTGTGAGTGCTCTCACACTGTCCAGGCGCCTTCTCTACCTTAGCATCACCTTTGGACCAGCAACGTTCTAGCTGATTCCTTGACTCGGGTGGGGTTACCAGTTTTTGTCCTCTTGTCACCGCTCCAGCACAGCCATTCTGAACACAGATCACATCACTGGTCACCCACCACTACTCACAAACATTGCCTCCCTTTACTCAGTGGAAAGGGATAGCCAATAAGTGTGTGCACTCACCATTTTCAGATGGGAAAATAAAGAGAATTCATTTAGAAAAAAATTTTAAAGTTTACAAAAAAGAATTTTTAAGCTGTTTCAGAAAACAGACAATTTTACACCAAATCCAAGCCAAGAAAATCATGTTAGTGACCTGGTGAAGAAAATAAACTCTGTTGGAAAAACAGGGAGATTAAGAGGACGATAAGTGTGTAGAAAACCAGGTCAGCATTTTAAACTGACATTATCATCATGTAAAAACAGATCTGTGTGAATACATCTTGTTAAGAAAGACTCGTGGAATTCTTTTTTACACAGTTCTATGAGAACTGGGCAATTTCTGTCGGTTAGGTGGTTTGGGAGCGGTGCATTCTACAAAGCACACCAACTGTCCAACGTTTTAGTCTGTTCTGTGAGCTTACCTTAGGGACTTGGGTAGCTGAAGCTTAGTTTAACAAAGAATTAACAGATTGGTCCTCAGACTACTCTTGGCATTTTTAGAAAACAAATCAAAATTGAAATGGTTTGTGTTACACGTATGAGCCCTGAGATCTTGGGCAAGACTCAGTGGCCTCAACTGTCACATGGAGGTAACTGTACCTAATGCAGCAGAAAACATAGATATTTCTGTCCCACCTTCTTCAGTAAGCACCTGCTACTCCTCTTTCATAGAGTCCCCCGCCCACACCCCAATATACTTTGCTACCCCAGTTGGTTGTTAATCATTGACTATACACTCCTGGACAGAAGTCAAGCTCCCTTTCCTAGCCCATGGCCCAGAGTTGCTCTGTGGGACAGATTGAAGGATTTGGCCTGAGCTGCTCCCTCGCTTGGCTCAACTCCCTAACCCTGGCCTGCTTCCCCGACTCCATACTGGTCTCTCCTAGAGCCATCTCGGGGATAAAACCCTGTATAATAAACTTCATTTCAGTATCTGCTTCTGGGGAACCAATGCATTCACATTTAACACTCCCTCCACCCCACCCCCACCCCAGAGTTTTGAAAAGACGGACAAAGATAATGTATCTAAAGCGCCCAGCATAATGTCTGGCATGGAGGAAGCGCCACAAGAGTGTTAGCTATTGTTCTTAGCCGAGGTCGGACCTGCAGAGCCAGGGAGAACCAAGGGAAATATAATTCAGGGACTTCCACACAAACATAAAGCCACAAACACACAAACTCTTGAGACACGTGGAGGGAACTGAATAATCCACATAATTGCTTCCATTCGCATCACTGGTGGCACCCTTGGCCTTAATTGCAAGGGAATAAATGCTTCCGGCTGAGTTGTGATACAAAGAGGCTGCTACTGTGTGCTCCCGAGAGACCCACCACAGGCATTCAATTGAGCTAATAAGTATGAAGAGACTTACATGTTCTCTCTCCCATCTGCTTTAACATATATATATATATGGAAACTCTTTGGTTCATCCTTTCACCAGGTTTCATGGAGTAGTTCCAAGGTTGCTTGCTTAAAAGTAAGCAGCAGGAGTCTTAAGAACTTAATTTTAAGAAATTCAAACAGCAAAAAAAAATGCACTTTGTTCTTTGAGATTCTTAAACCTATATTTCATATCCTTTCACAATAACTTGTCTTTTATGGATAAAATATACACAGATCACCGAGGGGAAAAAAGGCACCTGACATGACCTGGGGTGACCAGGTTCTCCTGTTTTTAAATGGTATACACAGGGCATATTATTAAGATTTCTATACGGTAGCATTTCTATCACAGCTCAGAGAAAGAATTTACCATTTCTTTATTATTCAGTTCAAATATAAGGGCAAAGAAACTTACTCACAGGATTTTTTTTTTCAGGTTTTCATTTATCAGCTTCTGGGGGTAAAAAAAAATGATATAGGCAAAATCCCTACGTGATAAAACCCAAACCAAAGTAACAGTGGCTGGTGGGACCCTCTCGGTGAATTATTATGCTCCTAGGTCCTGAAAAAAAAAATTATTCTTCTCCAGTTCTCTCATCTGACCCCACTACAGACAGCTTTTGTCCACTTCACAGCACTGGTGCCATTAATGATCTCCTCCAGGACAAATGGGATGTTCTTTCTCCTACCCTCGTTCGCTTTAATCTATGTGTTGCCTTTGTCCGACTCAACCTCTCTCTTCCTCCTCCTCCATAAGCCTCTCTTCTCCTAATTTTGTCTCATCCTTTAGGATTTCTTTTTCAATTGTATTATGTATTTAAAAAATAAAAAACGAAAACTTGTGATTAGAGTTGAGGGGGGAGAAAGCACCCAAATCTGAACACTATTATTTTATTGATTTCTTCCTTCTCACTCAATTTTTTTTTTCCTTGCTGGTTTTTACATATTACAAATGGGACTCAGGATCCTTCTTTTTATATGAAATATCTTATTTTAATTATTCCACATGTTGCTATAAAATCTTCATAACCTACATCCTTAATTCCTTTTAATAATCTCATCTCTTTCTTTTTTATTCTCTCCTCCTCAGTCTATTCTATTTCCCCGGGAAAATTCACTCCTTTCCCCCCAACAAATCCACTTTATCTCATATTCTCCTCCTATGTTCAAGTGCCCTGTTGTTCTGATGATATGAATACTATTTTTTTAAATATATTTTTATTGATTTTTTACAGAGAGGAAGAGAAAGGAATAGAGAGTTAGAAACATCAATGAGAGAGAAACATCCATCAGCTGCCTCTTGCACAACCCCTACTGGGGATGTTCCCACAACCAAGGTACATGCCCTTGACCGGAATCAAACCTGGGACCATTCAATCCCCAGGCCGACGCTCTATCCACTGAATGAATACTATTTTTTTTTTAAAAAACCAACAAAGCAAAATAAAATCCCAGTGTCTCAACAAAATATTTATACCAAAATACTACTTACTCTGGAAGTTAATCTGGTAATTTAGATCAAAGATGTATTCTTCTGAAACGTCTAACACATATTTTTCCTCTAAATAATTCCCAAGATTTTTTTTTCGGAGTTCCTATAAAAGTAACAGGTAAATACAGGCACTTAATTAGTAGTTTCAACAAGACTGATACTAGATTATCATCTTCTAAATTCTGCTCCAAGTAAGACAAGTGAAATACAAAGATGCTCGTTTGAAATACCAGTGATATTCTATTTCAAAAAGGGAAAGGTTTCCATGATCAACAACTAAAATAGAATACAAGTTGGGAAACCTTAAATTTAAAAATTTCAGAGATTTCTTTCATCTTTATTGTAAGAATTTCCAGAGCCTTGAATATATTAATTAATCCCAGCACCTAGCACAGTGGTAGATGCTCAGTAAATACTTGCTTAATACACAAATAAGCCTTGTGAAGCTCCAGGAAATAGTATTATATGTAACATTTCCCCTAAGAAAAGCAATTTCTTTATTAGAGTTACTTAAACAGCTATTTAAAAGATGCTTATTAGAACATTGTATAGACCAACTAAAAACTTCAAATGGTCCTGAATTTCGGGTTGGCTAAATGACTTATGGTGCAATAGAAGACCATGGAGCCATGAAAAATGATGATTTAGGTCAATGTTTAATGATACTAAAAGATGTCAATGACATGTGGGAAAAGTAGATTATAGAACAGCATGAAATTTTGTATGCTATCTATCTAAATAGATGTGTAGATGTGTCACATAAAGTATATACAGGGTGGGGCAAAGGTAGATTTACAGTTGTGAGTATGTGAAACACAGAGTTTATTCTTGTATTATTATTTATTAATTATTGTATTATTTTACATATGAGCAGCCATAAACCAACTTTTACCCTGCCCTATATATTTGAAAAATGAAGAAGTTTAGGATAATTATCTTTGAATGGTGCAATTATATGTGATTTTCACTTTGTACTTTATTTTTATTGTTTATATTAACGAATTATTCAACAATGTAAATAAAGATTTAATTTAACAAAGATGCTCATTTCAATATTATAAGAGAAAAACAGACATCAATAGTATCTAACAATAAAGAACTAAAACAGATTATAGTATATCATAAAATGTCACAATATGAACTCATTAAAATGATGTAGAAACACATTTAATGTAATGGAAAGAGATTTACAACACATTTTTTAAGTTAAAAAAGCAGGTTATAAAACAGGATGAATAATATAATTTTGTTGTAAGACAGTTATATGTTTGTAATGGTACAGAAGGATCTATAATAAAAACTTCATACTGTCAATCACTGAGTTGATATGTGTTTTCTAAACTTCATCAAGTTCCTACATTACTTATAGAACAATAAAATCAGCAGACTTATCAATTTTTTCCATAGTTTGTCTCCTTAGCAATCTTAGTTATCTTAGTTACATAAATAAATCACTTATGATCAAAGGAAAATAGGATTCAATAACAGTATATAAGTAAATGCTTGCTTAAAATGGTAATGTTAGTAACACTACCAAAGATGCCTAATCCCTTTTCCAAAAAATAATGAAATGTGGTAAAAACAGAAATGAGTTTTTTAAATGCCTTAAGAAAATAATAATTTTAATTGCATGAGGCCTTCTACTTCTTGATCCCTAGTAGTATGATGTACTAAGTGGTGTGGACAAGCACCTATGTCTACTACCGAGAACTAAAGGAAATCAAGGCGTCTTGATTTTGAACATTTAGCATGAGGTTATTTAAAGACTCAACAATCTGCATTAAGAAATAATTACAATTAGTCTCTGTCATGCCATTCTTAGCATTCATGTGTCTAAATTTCAGAAAATAATTTATGTAAAAGACAGTGGGATCCACATAGGACTGACAGTTTTATTTTGCCTAAAACATTAAAAAAAAATTACCATCTACAGCCTCCAACATTTAAAAAGAAACAGTATTCTAACCTTGAAAAGGTCCTAATTTCAGATTTTAAAAAAAAATTTCCTTTAAGATTAGTCAGCTTAGCTTTCTATACATAAGTAGTATATTGTTCGTGTTTGTCTCATTTTGCTGTCAACTGGTGAGACTGTAGCAGGCACCAGAGTCGCTGAGGTCTAGTAAAGAGCTCAGTGTAAGAGAGCACCCCAAGACAAACAGCCACTATGTATATTTAGTCAACTATTCAGAAAGTGGTGAGAAAACAGTCCAAAGGATTTCAAAGTGAACTAGGTCTAGCACTATATAGGGTGGGCAGAGACAAGTTTTTTTGGCTGAAGTCAGTTTAAATAATAAAACAGTAAAACTAAAATGACCCTTAATGATATTTTTCCCCGTTCCCCAAATCTCAATCATTAATGTGTTGTCCTCACATGTTTTATCACATTTGCATAACCTCTATTACTTATCGAACATCTTTCTGTTAGGTCTCTCTGCTAGGAAATACTGTCTATGAATCAGAGCTTTGGCAGGCTACTCATGTAATCATTATCCATATAATCATCCAGCCATCCAAAAACACCTAGCATATTTGTCATCTGGTCTAACATTCATTTCCTGGAACCCGGTGTAACAAGTAACGTGTTCAATTACCTAACGTGCTCAGGGTCTTACTCGAAGAGGAAGGCAAAGCAACTGATGGATTCGAGAAACAATCATAATGCAAAGGAGATTCTGTTCATGGCCTGACTATCTGCTTAATTAACTCTAAGTATATAACTTCAAAGATGTTGAAGTCTCCTGTCCTTTCTATTGCAATTTCCCTTAAAATATGTTTTAAAATATGTTTTTACTGATTTTAGAGAGAGAAATGTTAATCAGTGCCTCGACTGCAAACCAGCAACCTTTTGGTGCATGGAAGGACACTCAACCGAGTCACACTGACCAGGGCCTTTTTTTTTTTTTTTTTTTTTACAATTCTCATAAGATTCAACACTCTCTGCCTTGTGTTATCCATTCATCCAACAAATATTTATTGAACACTTACCTTGCTTCAGGCATTGCCTGGAGCAGAACAGCCTAGTAACCTTGCCTTCAGGAGGAATCTTACACTCTAGTACATTTTTATAGCTTTCTATAAGTTGTTTACTGCTGCACATTTGTGTTTCACATCCTGTACAACAGCAACTCTGGAACCCCTAGGAGGATGTTGGAGAGCCAGTTTCAGCCAATCCCCACAGGCCAGGCCAAGGGAGCCCAACTGCCAGAAAGACCCTGCTCATTCTACAGATAACCTTTGAGGCTCGGCCCAGGTGCAGCTGGAAAGGGACCACAAGAGGTTGGCTCCAGGGCATGTCCAGCCCATCTCTTGTCTCACTCAGTCCTGCCCCACCAGCTACCTTCTAATTAATTTCCTTTCAATGTGCATGAATCTATGCACCAAGTCACTAGTTTATTTATAAACATATTTATAAATATACTAGAGGTCCAGTGCATGGATTTGTGGGAGGTCCCTTGGCCTGGCCTGTGGGGATCAGGCCAAAACCTGTTCTCTGACATCCCCCCAGGGGTCTCAGATTGCAAGAGGGTGGTTCTCAGGTGACGCACCCTGAAATTAGGCTCCCTCCTCTCTGGTTTCCAGTGCTCACCTGAAAACCGCAGCTGACGAGTTAAGGCAGTTCAGCAGCTCCTGCACTGAGCACCAGCCCCCTGGTGGTCATTGCGTGCATAGCTACCAGTTGAACAATTGGACGTCGCTTAGGCTTTTATATATATACACATTTCTTTATTTTAAAAAATATTTTTAATGGATCTTAGAGAAAAACATCTATGTGAGAAACACTGATTGGCTGCCTCCTGCACACCCTCTACTGGGGATTAAGCCTGAAACCTGGACATGTGCCCTGACCCAGAATGGAACCAGTGACCTTTTGGTATTTGGAATGAAGCTCAACCAACTGAGCCATACTGGTCAGGGCCATCTCTTCTTTTTATAGAAGTCTTCTGCTTTCACATAAAATCAGAGAGGATTCTAGAGGGAGCATAAAAGACCAAAAATCTGGCTCCAGGCAAGTTGCTCAAAGCCATCAGCCTTTGGTAAGAAAATCAAATTCTGTGTCCATCCCCTCCTTCCAGCTGTTAGATAAGCCGGCCTCCCCCAGATAAGAAATTTAGCCTGTTCTCAACAACTTAGAAATATCACAAGTTCTAAACTTTGTTACAGTTAGTACCTCCTTTTGTTTTGTTTTGTTTTTTAAATGGGGGGAAAGGTAGTAAGACTTTTCAAAGATTTAAAAAAAAAAAACAACTTATGAGTCTAGATGAGAACCAAGAATGTCAGTAATGGGGCCTTGTTTTTTTGATGCCTTTTTATTCCATCTTTAGTATCTAGTTAGAACTATTATATTTCCTGAATGCTGAGGACAAACCCAGTTTAAGCTCTGTTTCTTAATCTCTCTCTTTTTCCCTCTACATACAAGAGGATATGGCTGGTAGTTTAAGAAATGATAAAACTGACTCCCAAATAGCTATGTATGTACTTTTCTCAGGCTTTAGTATTCCTCCCACTGATATAAATAGCTTCTCCTTCCATGGTAACTCTGCCTCTATGTGAAAACGCTGCAGTGCGGCTGAGAGGCTGGGTTAGGGCTGTAAAGTATGTGTTAGGGATGCTCTTGCTGCTCTTCAGCTTGAAGCAGAGGTTTCTTTATGGCCAAGTGAACACCTTTGCTCGCTACTGAGACAGTAGAGCAACACAGGACACTCGTCAGTATTGCAAGCCAACACCTATGGGTCCATGATCAGGAAAATAACAATAATATATTTCCCTCCTCCCCCACACTGCGAAAGAACAAGAAAGTCTAGGAACGCCCTGGCCGGTTTGGCTCAGTGGATAGAATGTCAGCCTGTGGACTGAAGGGCCCAAGGTTCGATTCTGGTCAAGGGCACATACCTGGGTTGCCAGCTTGATCCCCAGTTGTGGGGGGGAGGGGGGATGAAGGATGTTTGTGCCCTAACCCTATGTTTCTATCTCTCTCTCCCTCTTCCTTCTTCTCTGTAATCAATAAAAATATACTTTAAAAAAAGAAAGGAAATCTATGAGCTAGGTCAAACATTACCAGTATGACATACCCTTGATATTAAAGTATCAGCACACATCAAAACTT